CAACTGGAAATTCACATGTAACAGAATTAAGGTGAACCCTTATCTCACAGCATATTTTAAAAATTTAAGTGCTAAAACTACAGAAGAGCTAAATTTAAGAGCTAAAGCTGCAGGGGCAAATCTTCATGATCTTGGATTTGGCAACAGTTTCTTAAATATGACATCAAAAGCACACGCAACAAAAGAAAAAATAGATAAGCTGGACTTCAAAATTGAAAACTTTCAAGCAGCAAAGGATACCATCAGAGAGAGAGAACATACAGAACATGAGAATATATTTGTAGTCCATATGTTATTATGATGCTATAATAATTAAGAAAGTGGTACTAAGAAATTAAGAGAGTGGTACTAAGAAAAGAAATAGACAAATTAACAAATGAAAGAAAACAGAAAGTCTATTAGATAGACCCAAATGCACACGGAAACAGAAAGGAAACAAAGGACCAATGAATGAAATAGAAAAAAAACACAGCATTCTATATAAAGAAAATTGAACTTGGATTTCCTCCTAACATCATACTCAAAACTCAACTTAGGATGGGTTATAGATTCAAAACTTAAGAAGGGTTATAGATTTAAATGTCAAGCAAAACCTTGAAATATATTTTTTAAAGGTATTACTTTGATCATGGAATAGAAACAAAAAGTTCTAACTCTAAGACTGTTAAATTTCAAACTCTAAAAAGAACTATGAAATCAGCTATATTACAATTAGGAACCCTGTTTATCAAAAAATCCTTTTAAGTATATATGTGATTGATTTATTTTTTAGTGTACCATTTTGATTCCCTCCTCATTTCTTTTTCTGTAATTTTTTAGTGGTTACCATGGGGACTACAGTTAACATCCTAAATTTATAACTGTCTAGTTTGAATTGATACCAACTTAGCTTCAAAAGCAATAGCTTTTATCATTTGACACCCAACTGGCAGGAATATAAATTGGTACAACTCCTGCGGAGAATAAGCTGGCAACAGCCATCAAAATTATAAACATATACACTCTTTGACCCACTTTAAAATATTTATTCTACAAATATACCAGTACAATAGCAATCAGCAAAAAAGCACAGATAGAAGTTTTATTTGTACTAGCATAAGATTATAAACAACCAAAATGTCTATCAATAATGGAAGTTGGTTAAATAAATTGTGCTGGCCGGGCGAGAGGATTACCTGAGTTCAGGGATTCGAGACCAGCCTGGGCAACTTGGTGAGACTTCGTTTCTACAATAAATAAAAAAATTAGCCAGGTGTGGTAGTGCACGCCTGTAGTTCCAGCTACTTGGACAGCAGAGGCAGAAGGATCACCTGAGCCCAGCAAGTCGAGGCTGTAGTGGCCGTGAGTGTGCCACTACATAACAGCCTAGGTGACAGAGTGAGACTCCAACTCAAAAAATTAATTAATAAATAATAATAATAATAAATTGTGCTAAGTGCATACAATTTATAATAATAATAATAATAATAATAAATTGTGCTAAGTCCATAAACTTACATAGTATGAGCCTATAAGCAAGTATAAGTAAGCTCTCTTTATTGTATGTAAAAATCCCTAAGGTATATTGGTTAGTGAAAAAAGCAAGATGCAGAATAATGTATTTACCAAACTGTCTTTGAGTAATAAAAGGTGAGTGGGGAGGACTAAGCCTGTGTGTGGGCAGGGCATATATGGATATCTCTGTAACTTCCTCTCAATTTTGCTATGAACTTTAAATTGTTCTACAAAAAGTCTTACAAAACTAAAAGATAAAAATAAATTTTCAAAGAGGGAGACTACTTGCATAAACAAACTCTACAAAGATGTATAAGAAACCAAGAGCCAAAAGAGCGCTTGTTATCGAGAGAAAGTAGTGCTGGACAATGAGGTCAGATTCAAATATAAGAGGAAGACTTTTCATTATAATCATTAAAAAATGGTTTGGTCTTTGAACCAAGTAAATACACTACCTATTCAAAAAATAAAAGATGGTTTAAAACAGAAAAAAGAAAAAACTGGTAGAACTTTTTCTAGACTTGCTTGTGAATATGTGGCATACCCTTTCCCTATAATATATCACAAATAACTTTCACAGTCAAATATAGTTCACCTTCATTCTTTTATAGGAACACATAATACTCTACTGTATGAATTTACCATAATTTAACAAATCATCTATTGTCAGACATTTAATCTGCTTCCATTTGACACTGCCAAACAATGCTGCACTAAATTCCTTTGTACACACCTATTTGTACACTTAGCCAATTAGTTCATAAAGGTAAATTACTAAAAGTAGAAGTGCTGAATTGACAGTAATTACATTTCACTTTTTTTTTTCTTTTTTAGTTGGAGTCTCACTCTGTCGCCCAGAATGGAGTGCAGTGGCTGCTCCTGGCCACTGCAGCCTCAATCTGCTGGGCTCCGGCGATCCTTCTGCCTCAGCCTTCTGAGTAGCTGGAATTACAGGCGCGCGCTACCACGCCTGGCTGATTTTTTGATTTATTGTAGAGATGAGGTCTCACTGCCCAGGCGGGTCTCGAACCCGCGGGCTCAGGCAATCTACTCACCTCAGCCTCCCACATTTCACGTTTTTACACATCCTGTGAGACTGTCTCCTCCAGCTGCACTAACGGTGGGTGAATGAGCATACCCATTCCCTGCACACACTCACCAATCACTACCTAGTATCATTCCTTTCTTTTAAATTATTTTAATTTTTATTTATTTGAGTTGGGGTATCACTGTCGCACAGGTTGGAGTACAGCAGCATGATCATGGCTCACTCCAGCCTTGACCTCCTGGGCTCAGGAGATCCTCCACCTCAGCATCCAGAGTAGCTGGAACTATAGGTATGTTTCACCACAGCCCACTAAATTTTTTTAAATTTTTTTGTAGAGATAAGGTCTTGCTGTGTTGCCCCGAGCTAGTCTCAAACTCCTGGGCTCAAGCAATCCACCTGCTTCAGTATCCCAAAGTGCTGGGATCACAGGCATGAGACACTGTGCCTGGCCATTTCTTTTCATCTTTATTTATGCTATCATCTTACTTTAAGTTTGCATTTCTTTAATTAATAATGAGGTTCTTATATTTATTGGCTATCTGAATTTCTCTTTATGAGTTTCTTTTTTCATGTCTTCAGTTTATTTTTTCCAGTGGTATGTTGTTATTTTTCTTTTTGTTTTTTTGAGTTTGGAGTCTCACTCTGTCACCCAGACTGGAGTACAGTGGCCGCTCCCGGCCACCACAGCCTCGACCTGCGGGCTCCGGTGATCCTTCCGCCTCAGCCTTCCAAGTAGCTGGAACTACAGGTGCGCGCTACCACGCCTGGCTAATTTTTGATTTATTGTAGAGATGAGGTCTCGCTGCCCAGGTGGGTCTCGAACCCGCGGGTTCAGGCAATCCACTCACCTCAGCCTCCCAAAGGCACGGGATTACAGGCTGAGCCACCGAGCCCAGCTGTGAATATTCTAAGCAGAGAAATTTTAAATGATTTCTTTCTATTAAGAGGGATTTTTGAAAAGAGGGCTTCAGTAAAACAGAAAGGAGGAGATATGTAAACAAAATCAGGATGGTTGTCCTATAATTCCTCTCCTGCCCCAAGTCTATCTGTGCTCTTGTCCATCCCCAGTAGATCTTAAAGAGAAGCTGCCTGTCTGTCCCCACTTTCCTGACTACACTGATGGTTCATGTAACTCAGGTGAAGCCAACCAGAATGGTCCCCCCCACAAGGTTTTTATTTCTGGTCGGAGGAGAGATAAGCTCCTTTCCTCTCTGGTTGTAAAACTATAAGAATATGGACCTGTGGCTGCCAGCAACCATGCAACCTAGTGAGGAGAGAAGCCTTCTGAGAGATTAAATAGACACGCAAGGAGAAGAAAAGGTGAGAAATGAATGTAAAATGCTAATGAGGGTCAAGGTCCTGCCTATAGCTGCCTCCAAGGTCAGTTGAACCCTACTCTTCCCGTGGTGTAGGTCCATGTGTTAGAAAATTCTCTTTTCTACTTCAGCTGATCTGAATTAGGACTCTGCTACTTGAAACTAAGTCATGGGTGTTAGACTATGGGCTTGTAGAAGCCCTGAGAAGTCTCCCAAGGTTTTCCTTAAATATAAAGAAAAGCAAATGTTCAAATAAGAAATTATATTTCTTCTTTGAGATAAATATACTTAAGTTATCCCAAGAATATATTAGACTCCTTTTAAACTTCATTATTTTAGTTGAAGGGCACTGTTATTTACAGAAATTAAAGCTAAAACCTATATATCATTTTTTAAATGCTGCAAAATCTATAAATATTAAATATACCTTACTTTATAAATATTTAAATGAAATGCGCCAGCTTTGTTGTGTTCCTTCTGACTTCTTGTAGTCATGCATGCCTGCAGAGGTATAACAAACTACTGAGCTTATTCTGCCCTAAACATACCCCCACACAGTGCATGTGGTATCACAAAAGATATTCCTAGCACCTGCAGACTTAAACAGCCTTCTTGTAGGAATCTTAGAACAGCCTACTTCTTGAACTTCTACTCACATTCTATTTTTTTAACAAGAAATCAATTAACATCTAATCAAACCTCTAATTTAAGAAGCTTATGAAAAGGAATTTTGATTGACTAACATATCCAAATATACTCCTCCTCCCCAAATACAGGACATCCCAGTAGAAGACAACACTGTTCTACTCAGCAAGACAAGCAGGAACCAAAACTCATAGAGAAACAAGCTACCAAAATAGAGCCAGTGAGCTCTGTCCAAGTGTTCAATTTCAATGAATCAAGAAGACCCATTTCACTTTCAAGGAATCAAAAAGATCCAGGGTCCAGAAAGGGAAAGACTCAGCTTTTGCAGGAATACAGTGGTCCTGACCACATAAATTCAGCTTCACTGGGAGCAGAAGGAAGAGAAATAAACAAGTAAAAGAGGAATGGGCAATCCATTAGTTTATAATAGCAAGGCTCCCATTCTCACTTCTCAGAAATAATTCATGAAAATATGGCATTAGGATGCAAGCTCTTACCTACAGAAGGCTGGAACTGTGATGGAGCTGGTAGTGAAATATTTGGTACTGAAAGTGTGAAGACCTCTGCTGGGGACTGAACAGAGGGAGTATCTTCTGCTGGTGGTGTGAAATCTATCTCATCATCAAAATTATCTTCAAATTCCTAAAAGAGACCAAGTATTAAAAACTACTGGTTAACACTTAAGAGAGAGACACATTTATTCACTCATTTGGAACTCGCTGCCATATTCTTTTTTCCAATTTGTACATTAAGTAAAAAGCATATACTGTGTTCCTCAACTCCAAATAGCAGAATAAATAAGATGTGAAAATAAATTACATAGATTTTATGTAACTTTTTAAACAGTTTGAAGTTAAAAGCAAAATTTTCTGAAGTGACCATGGAATTTGACATGTAAATATTCTTCTAGGCTCAAAAGTCTACTTTTAAATTATTACATTTTAAGCAATTCTTGTAAAGTTATTATTCCACAAATATCTTTGCAAACAATTAAAATAAATTGATTTTATTTTAAAATAGTATATGCATTTCTAATTGCAATGTGATTTCTATCAAACTAAGGAAAGTTGAAAGACTCACATAAGATATTTTTAAGCAAGTCCTATTTCTCTGGAAAGAGCAGTAATGGAGACATTACTAAACTGAGCAGAAAAATCATCAGGATCTGAACCACAAAGGTCAGTATAAAACTGTGTAGCATGTAAGAGTAATTAATACAGAAGGACATCTGGCTTTCTAAAGACGACAACTTCAAAATTAAAGATGCAACAATAAGGCCGTAGAAACCTTTTAAGTTACTCTGTTGGCTAGAAAGCTTCCCAGCTCTTCCTGTCATCATTCTAGTAAGTTGGGTGTGTTTTGTTAATTTACCACAGATACAGCTGATTATCAAGTCATTTGTTCAGATAATTACCAAGTATTACCCCTCTAGGCATCATAACAGAAGCTGGGAACAGATCAGCAAACAAGAATGAACAGTCTATGAACATCTTTCATTTTCCTCTTCTAGCACCTCTCCTTTGTACCCACCCAATACAAGGAAGAAACTAAAAGTTATAAGGGCGCGGTGGCACATGCCTATAATCCCAGCACTTTGGGAGGCAGAGGCAAAAGATTTGCCTAAGTCCAGGGGTTTGAGATCAGCCTGGGCAACTTGGCGAGATCTTGTATCTACAATAAATCAAAAAATTAGCTGGGCATGGTGGCGCAGGTCTGTGGGTCCAGCTACTTGAAAGGTTGAGATGGAAGGATCACCTGAGCCCACCAGGTCGAGGCTGCGGTGGCTGTGAATGTGCCACAGCACTCCAGCCTAGGTGACAGTGAGACTCTGACTCAAAAAACAAAACAAAACAAAACAAAACAAAAAAACAAAGATAAAAGTTATAAGTGCTAGGGTTAGATTTCCTCAACACTTATGTTTTCACATGCAAGTAAGAAGACATTATTCTCATACAAAGGAGGACTCCCAAAAAACTGGAATTTATTTGCAAAAAATTGTGTATCTATTCTAACATGTTTAAACTTCAGTCCTCTTCAAAGTACTCTCCATTTGATGCAATACACCTATTGAGATCCTTTTTCCACTGTTTAAACAGTTTTTGAACTTGCCAATTTTGATGTCTTAGTGTTTCTGCCGTTTTTTGTTTCACCTCTTCCATATTGGCAAAACGTTTCCCTTTGAGGAATCTTTTCATTGGGGAAACAAAAATAAGTTGCTCAGGGTGAGAACAGGTGAATACAGAGGGTAGGGCATGAGGGTTATGCTGGTTTTGGTGTGGGCAGGTGGATTGTCACAGTGGAAGAACCGATCACCTGTTTGCAACAACTTGGGATGTTTCTTCTGCAAATTGTGACACAACCTTCTCAAAACTTCCAGATAAAAACTGATGGACTGTCTGATCCAGAGGAACAAATTCTGAGTGTACTACAAGGGGCCTTCCAGAAGATAATTCTGTTTTTTGGGGGGGTCCCTCTAGTATATGTTCTTGAATGCACTACATTTAGGACATTATTTGGGTACTAGAGACTCAGAAGGGGGTGGAGAAAGGGCTGGAAAGACAAAAAAATCACCTATTGGGTACAACATGTGCAGATGGGGTAGAGGGTATACAAAAAACCCAGACCAAAAATTATTTGTACCCCCTAAAGCTATTGAAATAAAAAAAAGGACATTATTGCTATTTGTATGAAAGAGGGAGGCAGCAGGAAAAATGAGGTACCGTAACTTCCATCTGAGAAGGTGCTTCTGAGAAGAAGAAATTATTCAATTTTCCTTTTGGACATTCCTAAAGATTCTCTCATTAAAAAGGCTTTGTTGGGCCGGGCATGGTGGCTCAAGCCTGTAATACCAGTACTTTGGGAGGCTGAGGTGAGAGGACTGCTTGAGCCCACGGGTTTGAGACCAGACTGGGCAACTTGGCGAGAACTCATGTCTACAATAAATCAAAAAATTAGTTGGGTATGGTAGCATGTGTCTGTAGAGCTGGCTACTTGGAAGGCTGAGGTGGAAGGATCACCTGAGCCCAGTAGGTCAAGGTTGCAGTGGCCAAGAGCGTGCCACTACACTCAGTCTGGGCAACAGAGTGAGACTCCAACTCAAAAAAAAAAAAAAAAAAAAAAAAAGACTTTGTCCATTGCTTCTATCTTAAAAATGCCACTTAAAAGTTGGTAGTAGCATGACATACTACTAGAGATGCCAGCAGGTGATTCTAAAGATTGAGCGAGGTAATACAGTATAAAAATAAAAAAATGAGATAAGACTGGGTCACTTTAAAGTTATCGACCTGTTGGTCACAGGCGATCCTTCCACCTCAGCCTTCCACGTAGCTGGAACTACAGGCATACGCTACCACACCCTGCTAATTTTTTGATTCATTGTAGAGATGAGGTCTCGCCAAGTTGCCCAGGCTGTTCCCAAACCCGTGGGTGAACGTGGGCAAGTCACTTATTTTACCAGGTCAGCTTTCTGGTCTACAAAATGACTTCCACAGGACCATCAGCTCTAAAATTGCATAGCTCTAAACCTAAAGGAAGTCAACAAATCACAGATGGTAACACACTTATTCAGTTGTAGATTCTAGAGTCAGAGAGGGTCCTCTAATACACCATAATAAAAATCGTTGATTAACACACTGTATCAGAATCACCCACATCAGAATTGCCTGACAAGACAGATTCCTGGGAGTCACCTTGAATCTGCATCATAATAAATTTCCACATTCAATAGTGAGATTCAAAAAGGTTAAAATGATCTAAGGCAAGAATGAGGTAACGTGAAATTTGAGGTAGAGACTGGGTTTCAGTATCAGCAACACTTATCAGACTTTATCTTTGTCCTGAAATGGCCAGGTTTCTGTGTAAAGTCCCGGAGCAAGACTGACAGGGGACACAGATCTTTTACCTACAATTGTATCCCAAGAAGTGTAGTGATTAGATTCCCTCAGAAATACCTGTAGTAATTCTAAGGCCTAGGGATTGATACTGTGAATAATCCCTTCAGGTTTGGGGCAAAATCTTAAGAAAATGGCCTACGTTAATGAGTCTTCCTACCACCTTCCTGTGCTCAGCCTTCTGCGAGTGCTGTCATGCGAGTGCTGAGACAAGAGGACAACACCTCCCCTAGTCACAAGATAAAGAGAATGCGCAATAAAAACAGGTGTGAAGCTCTAGAAAGCAGGTCCCCATGCCTAGTGAAGACAACTTTCCTTTTTTTCCCAGTGTGGACTCAGGGCCAGCCCTTGCAGTTAGTAGGGCTCTAATTAACATTTTCTCTGTGTGTATGCATTCCTTCTTTTTTCTTTTTTCCACATATTCCTTTTTAACAAGTACTTACGGAGCCTTAATACACACCAGCAGGCATACAGCAAGTTTTAGAGCATGACTTCTCAGTTGGTTTACTGGTAGATTCCACCCATCTGCTGCTACAACCCAGTCCTTCTTTATTATCCCTTCCTGGGCAGGATTTTACAATCCGCACTCCAGGTTTCAAAGCTCTTCCTCATAAACAAAACACACTGGGGGATCCCTTTGCCTCAGTAATCTGAACAATCGCAAATTCACCAACCGACATAAGTTTGGGGAAAAAAAAAACAGAACCAGACTGCTGTTTCTCATAGGCCTTATGGCAAGTAAAGTCAGTCATCATGCTTTCTTCCTCACTTAAGCAAAAACTTAAACTCACCACAGGCAAGTGGTTATTGGGTAGGCAAACTACAGCCATCAAAATGCCTAGTTTTCTTTTGTTTTTTTCATTTACGTCTTTGGATTTTTTTTTTCCTCAAATTCTTGTGTTGAGGCTGACTTTCAACAGATCGCAGTGAGGGAACTATTCTATTACATAAAGAACCCTGACCCAGAATCAAGTTGTCAGGCAGGTGAGACTGTTTTTGTAAATAAAGTTTTACTGGCACAAAGCCATGACCGTTTGTTAACACAGGCTCTCACTGATGTGTTACAACGGCAGAGTTGGCAGTTGGGGTGCTGTGACAGAGACTGTATGACCCACAATATTTACTATTCACTATGGCAGTAAATTGTTCCTGTCTAGCCCTTACCAAAAAAGTGTGCCAACACCCGCTCCCAAGAGACTGTGATATACAGTCATTCTACTGATAAACACATCAGTACTACCATCTGTACTCACCTTAAAGTCTATTTCTGGGTCCTTACAGCAAGATACACAGTTTGCAATTAACACTATTAATATCATTAAACTGCACACAGATAGGATCACAAAAGATGAGGAAACTTCAGCAGCAGGTGCCTCCTCTGGAAAGAGACATAAATAATATTAAAAACATGTTCATTCTAAAATCAGCTTTAATTAGTGAACCAATATATTTCACTCTAGATACAAGTGGGACCAAGTTTATTAAAGAATGACTGCTGAACTGCTCAAGATAAAGCTGATAACCAATCCAAGATAAGAAGCTGTTATTATTGTTATTGCTGAAACAATCTTTGGTTTACAGAAGAGCTGAAGAGACAATACAGAGAGTTCTCATAAACCCTTCACATGGCCAGATGCAATGGATCATGCCTATAATCCTAGCACTTTGGAAGGCTGAAGTGAGAGGACTGCCTGAGTCCACAGGTTCAAGACTGACCTGGGCAACTTGGCAAGATCTCATCTCTACAATAAAACAAAAAATTAGCCAGGTGTGGTGGTGCACACCTGCAGTGTTCCAGTTACTTGGAAGGCGGAAGTGGAAGGATCACCTGAGTCCAGCAGGTAGAGGCTGAGGTGGTTGTGAGCATGCCACTGCACTCCAACCTGAGTGGCAGAATGAGACTCCAACTCAAAAAACCCCTTCACCCAGTTTCCAATAATATTAACATCTTCTATGACCACAGCACATACATCAAAACTAGGACAATACTACTGATACAATACTATTAACGAAACTTCAGACTTATTTGGATTTCACTGTCTTTTCCACTGAAGTCCTTCCTCTTTTCCAGGATTCAATCCAGGCTACCAATGTTGCATTTAATTATGTCCCCCTATTCTCCTCCAATCTCTGGCAGTTTCTCAGTCTTTTCTCGTGTTTCATAACTTTGACATTTTTTGAAGAGTACTGGTCAGTTACTGTGTGGTATATGGGTGGTCTGATGTGTTCTCAGGATTAGACTTGAATTTACAGATATTTGGGAAGAACCTAGAACTCTACTGAGATGAACTGCACCCCCTCTTTGCATCACATCAAGGGCACATGACTTATTCCTGGCAAGGTGACCTTTGATCACGTGGTCAGGCAGTTCCCTCCAGGACTCACCACTGCAGTCGCCACTTTTCCCTTCCTATGCTCTGTTCCTTAAGAGTGAGACCAGGGTCTAATGCATGTACACAAGGAAGGGAAGTAAGCTGTACTTCTTGAAGAGAGGAATGCTAACAAGTCTAGACACAAGTTAAAAACACTACAGTAATTCGTAACTACTGACAGTGCCAAAAAAATGTATACACATTTTAAGAGATGTTATCTATGTATTATTTTTCCAAGTTGAATTGAATTATGGTAGCAGTGTAGTATTCACTCAAACGATGGCATTAATCAAATGAATGCTAGTGTTACATGTGACAGGCAGAAGAGTCAAAGAAAATGGAGGAAGCACAGTTATCATTTGAGAAGCATAAGACCACTTTGAAGTGGTATTTGAAATTAGAGAACATTGTGGAAGTATAATGGCAATGGAGGCGTGAGTATGCAACAGAAACTCCAACACACCTAACAACTGCACACATTCATGGTAAGTTTGAGACCCATGGTACTGTGTGTGATGTGCACAAGGGAAGATCCAAGAGGCAGTAAGTCTTGCAGTAGTTCACAGTAATCAGAAGTGTTTGGAGCTGGGCTTGGTGGCTCAGCCTATAATTCCACACTTTGGGAGGCTGAGGTGAGTGGACTGCCTGAGCCTGAGGGTTCGAGACCCGCCTGGGCAGCTTGGTGAGACCTCATCTCTACGAAAAATCAAAAAATTAGCCGGGCGTGGTAGCGCACGCATGTAGTTCCAGCAACTTGGAAGGCTGAGGCGGAAGGATCCCCGGAGCCCAGCAGGTCGAGGCTGCATTGGCCGGGAGCGGCCACTGTACTCCAGTCTGGGCGACAGAGTGAGACTCCAACTCAAAAAAAAAAAGAAGTGTTTGGCTGCCAAAGGTAACCACTTTGAGCACCTCTTGTAACTGTAGAAGTCAAATGTGACTTGTATTCATCTTTTATCAGTATATAGTGAGTATTACAATTTTAATACAGTTATTTCCTCTCTTAAAATGTGTATACATTTTTGGCACCCTCTGTATTTGCAGTGAGATACTTTGAGCCAATGCAAATGCCCTGTTTCTCTTTAAAGTTTTACACACCAATTTTCTCATTTGTGAGTGAATGGCAATAGCAATTTAATTCTGTGATGTTTTAACAGTGATTTTCTACTTCTCTCCTAATTCTTCTGTGAGGAAGATTTGTCCTTTCTCCTCCACATATTTACTTTATTCAGTCATTTAAATAGTTATGAACTCACGGATGTTATTCTCTGGGTTATAATCCAATGTTATCATCATTCATTTTATGGCTCAAATGGTTCCAGCGTTGCCCGCTGGAAGCTCTTTCAAGCTGACTATTGGATCTTTTTCATATGCTCTATTTTTTTTTCAATGCTTCCTTACTTTTGGCACTACAGGAAGCTCCAGGCTCCTCTTATTTTCCCTACTGTGGTTCTGGAATCAGCATTTCCCCAGGGAGCTGTAGTCATAACAAGGAGCTTTTCTAACAGAAGTCTGCAATCTATAGTCTGTGGACTGTAGTTGCATGGAGCCCTGCCCTGCCAGCTAAGAATGATTTTTTATATCCTTAAGGGGCTATTAAAAAAAAAAAGCAGCCGGGCTCGGTGGCTCAGCCTGTAATCCCGCGCCTTTGGGAGGCTGAGTTGAGTGGATTGCCTGAGCCCACGGGTTCGAGACCCGCCTGGGCAGCAAGACCTCATCTCTACAATAAATCAAAAAATTAGCCAGGCGTGATAGCGCATGCCTGTAATTCCGTCTACTTGGAAGGCTGA